CCAGGTCTTGCCCGGAGCTGGCCAGAGCACGGCTCTGTGCATCAGGTCCCTCAATAGTCCGGGGAGGGCTGGGGTATGTCTCAAGGGCCCTGGGAATGAAGGGGAACAGAGTGCTGTGGCCCACCACCTCCTGAGGCGGGATCCCGGGCTACTGGCTTTGAGGACCTTAGGAACCATGGGAGGTACAGACACGGCAGTGGGGGAACGGGGGTCCTTGAGGTTCTGGGAGCCAGCGTGGGGAAGAGCTGGGTTAGCACCAGCGATGGGCATCATGGCACAGCCTGGTCCCAGTGCCCCCCCCACTCCCTGGGGGCAGCTGCCGCCCCTCTTCTGCCCGCAGCTGTGCTTCTTGGTGCTTGCTTTGGACCTGTTGCTCTTGCCTGACATAAAACCCCAAGGAGTCCCACCTGAAGTGGGAAGCGCAGGAAGGAGGCTGGGGCTGCCCTCGCGGGCGGCCCCTCCTGGACAGCCCATGTCTCTCCAGACCTCCCCAGCCCCTCCCAGGGCTGCTAGGAGCAGGCCCAGCTCACTGAGGGGAGCAGACGCAAGCAACCCCCCGCTCCCCAGGACAAGATAGCAGCCATGGTGGGGCTGGGATTTGAACCACTGTCTGCAGGCCCCACTCCTCTCCAGCCCCTGGCCTCTTTCAGGCCCTGGTCAGTATATAATTCATAGGAGCCAGGTGTGGAGCTTCCCTGGGCTGGGTATGTGTTTGTTTAGAGAGGTAGAGCTCACAGGTGGCTGACAAGGGAGATCTATTTTTTATAACGATGAATATTTAATTTCCACATCACAGATGAAAAGGAGTCTCGAAAGAAGCATCTGAGGGAGGCTCCAGAGAGCCGCCGCTAATCAGAAAAGGCCCTTCTCCAGGGCCTCCGCCACGAGCCTCACTTGTTTTCTTTAACTTTTTTAAAAAATTTCTTCTTCAAATTCCTGATTGTTGAAGTAGCTATGCTCATCGTGGAAAAATGAAAAGAAGCAGGGGGGCGGGGGGAGCCACACAAAATCCCACTGGCTATTATTGGCTTTTAGGCCCCTGCGTTTCCAGTCCTTTTTTTTGTTTTGGTCTTGGTTTTTGAAACGCCGCTTTCTGTAGACTGGAGAGAAGGGCACGTGGTACCGTCGCTTTGCACTGTCCCTGGGGGAATTGGTTCTGGATGCCAAAGTCTACGCATGCTCAAGTCCCTTGGGCGACATGCTGCCACCTTTTAAAACAGCTCTAGATCGCCGTATTGTGTATCCACTGCTGCGGAATCGCTACACTGGTTAGAGAATGCTAGAAAGGCAAGGAGAAAAGTCTGGCATCATTTTCTCCCAAATGCCTTCCCCAACTCACTGTTGGTTGGATCTGCACGTGGAAGGCTGACTGTGAGAAAATGACAATTCTGCGTCATGACGGTGGCTGGGGGAAGGGGGAGCCATGTGGAGTCCGTGTTGCTCTGCGCTAACTGTCCTGGGGCATAGTTGCTCACTACATTTAGGAGGCGCAGGGAAGTGGCATTCCAGGGTCGCTCCTGACTGGATGGCACATTCTAGGCTCCTGGTGCACAGGGCACCCCAGTTCCCTCCCCCTGCCGCCCTCCGCCTTCTCCTTCACACCTTGCACAGAGCTCTGACAGTGCCTCTAACTGCCTGTTCTCTTCTCTCTTGTCTCCTCTGCCCCAGCCTGGTAAAGCCTTTGCGACACTATGCAGTCTTCCTCTCCGAGGACTCCTCTGACGATGAATGCCAGCAGGAAGACACCCCCGGCGCTGGCTTCACCGAAAGCTTTTTCTTCTCCACTCCCTTTGAATGGTCTCTCTTCCTTCTTCCACCTCCCTGGGCTCAGCTGGGTGACTCTCTGAGCACACGGGGGGGGGGGGCCGTAATAGGGCTGGTACCTACCGCTTGCTCCTGTTGAGGGAAGGGTGGTGTGTGAATACAGCCTGCTAGGTGTCCCAGGATCAACCAGCAGGGAGAATGCCACCTCTCAGGGTGCCAGCCCCACCGGGCTGTGACAGGGGAGTGAGGTGACAGGAAATTAATTTGGCTGTGAATAGACTTAGTGGCTACTGCAACCATGGGTTTTGGTCCCTGAGTCCTTCTTCACCTCAACACAGCTTGGAAAACCAGCGAGACATCAAGGCAGGTTTTAAGTTAAAAGGAGATTTCATAGTATGGGATATGTATATTAATATCAGCAAACCTAAATGTTCCAATCTACCTGACTTTGAACATGTGCCAGTGCTGGGGCATGAACTCAGGGCCTTAACTTTTTCCACCAAAGTTGGCACTCTCCCACTTGAGCCACAGCTCTACGTCTGTCTTTTTGGTGGTTAATTGGAGCTAAGAGTCTTATGAACTTTCCTGACCAGGCTAGCTTTGATCCTCAGATCTTAGTCTCTTGAGTAGCTACAGTTACCTGCCTTTTTAAATATAATCTTATCAGTATTGCTTATAACCTAAGCTTTATACTAGTTACAATTAACATTTTTTCAAAAGGAAAAAGACAAAGGTTTATGGGCTGGGAGGTTTTATATTCTTTACTTTTTAAATTGTGTTATAAAGGTGATGTACAGAGGAGTTACTGCTTCATAAGTCAGGTAACAAATACATTTCTTGTTCGACAGTGTCACCCCTTCCTTCATTCTCTCCCAGTTTTTCCTTCCTGTCCCCACTCACTCATTTTCGACACACTTTTCAACCACTGCTGCATCTATCCACCCTTTGGAGGTTTATGTTTTTAATAAAGAGAAAAGGGTTTGCCCACCCCCAAATGTAATTTTTCATAGAGCCCTTTCTTTGCCAGCTCCTCTGCTTACAGGTTTTTCAGAGCTGAGGTTGAGCTAAGATGGCTTCAGTCTGTCCTTACCAAAGTCACTGGTGTTTTACAAAGCACTTAAGGGAAGGGAATGGCCCTTCTCGTGAGTCCACTGTCCCCTATTCTCCACGAGGGGCCAGTGTCCATTCCTGACCTCTTTCAAAATCCCAGGCACTGGGTTCTGTCCCCTGAGCTGGGCTCGTGGATGCTTTCAAGGACCATATGCAACCCAGACTGCTCTGCGGCCTTCCCGTGCCCACAGCGCAGGGAGATCCTGCCCCTTCCTGCCTCCACATCACCTGTGACCACCCAGTCACCCCCTCCCCACGTCCCCACCTGCAAACTGGCCTGAGTCCTGAGTCTGGTGCCTTTTCTGCACATGAAATCTTTCTCTACATTTTTGCTTTTGAATGTTGTATCCTTCTCCTAAGTACTAATACCTACAGCATCATAGGTTTAATGTGTTGCTGTTGTTTCTGATACTAGTTAAACTGAAGAGAGACCAATTGGAATAAGAAATGTTCATTCAGGTATCAGCTTGAGGTCACCTTGCAGGAAAAGCAGCCTCCTTAAGTGACCCATGGTCTTGTCCTCTGAAGTCCAAAGTCCCACTCTATCATGCTGTCTAAATCAAAACCTTCTTTTTCTTTTCTTTCTTTTTTTTAGGGGGGGGGGAGGAGGGTGGCACTGGAGAGTGAACCCAGAGATTTGCCCATGCTAGGCAAGCACTGTACCTCTGAACCATACCCAACCCCAGTCCCTTCACTACTTAGATAGTGGCTACTTGTTTCCTTAGCCCAGGATTGCAGTGCTCAGCTCAGATCTTTGTGTGTTATATGTGTTTTGTTTTAAAAAAACAAAAATGCTGTGTGCTCAGCATGCTGAGACTTGAAAGTTGAAGCTCAAAGCTACCTAGGAGAGACAAATCTATGCAACTCTTATCTTGAGTTAACTAGAAAAAAAAACCTGAAACTGGAGGTGTGGCTCAAGTGGTAGAACTCCAGCCTTGAGCAAGAAAAGCTGAGGGAGAATGTGTGGCCCTGAGTTCAATCCCCAGCATTATTAGCACAATCAATAACTAGAAGCTCTGCCATCCTGACTCAGAATACAAAAAGCTAAAAAGAAAATCATTTTCTGAAGTCTGAGAAACTCGGACTTTTCTTTTCTCCTTTTATTTTGCTCAAACTCAATGAAAGGGTTCTTGATTTTTCAGTCAGAATGGTCAGACTGGGCTTCCATTTCCACCTCTTGCCAGGTGCCGTGAGCCATGGCGTGAGTCACTTCTCTGAAATTCTGTTTCCTCATCTATAAGGTGAGGGTGTAAGGCCTGCTTCATGAGCAGTAGTTTGTGTTGAACCCTCCTGACTGTCCTTCAGGTGCCTTCCGTGTCCGCCCACTCATGACCAGCAGGTGGCGCCTTCCTCCCACTTTACCAGCATACAATCTGCACCTGACACCGAGAAGCCTGACACGGCACTGGCCCCTAGCTCCACTAAGGGTCAGGGTTTACCCAGGCACTGCCTGTGGCTCAGTGGTGCCCTGGGGTGCAGCTGGGAAGAAAGAAGGCTACCTACCCCGGGCCAGCCTGAGTGTGCCAGGCACTGCATTTGCTCACAGTCGCCACCATCACCTGAGCAGCCGTGACTCAGAGACGTTGGGTGACGCCCGAGAGGCACAGGCAGGGCTATAATGGATGTCACACAGGCTGACATCCTCAGTGGGTTCCCCTGAAGGTACTGGGCAGCAGCTGCTCAGTTCCCCCAAATCCACAGCCACTGGTGGTCACCGCCTGGGAGCACAGGGAGGAAGAAGAACACAATCGCCTGCCCATCGGTTTCCCCCTCCATCTGCCTGTGTTCCCGCCCCATTCCTTTAGCTTTCAGTACAAAGCCTAGGGTTCTGGGGAATTTCCTTCCCCTCCCGCCAGGCCCCCAGTGCAAGTGGCAGCCATCCATCATGACTTGTCCAAGGTCACTGAGCAAGCAGCAAAACCAAATTCAGGGCCAAGTCTGCCAGAGGGTGCAGCTCACGCCCTTCCACCACCTGAGCTGCAGCCAGCACGGGGCCCCAGGGCCTCTGCTGCCCTGGCGGGTCCTGGGCATGGTGCTTGAGGCCTGGACATTCTTGGAGGCTGGGGCACCCCTTCCTCCCACCGACACCCTGGTGGGAGAATCCAGCATGCTCTGTCTCCTCCCAGGCCACAGCCATATCGGACACTCAGAGAGTCAGACAGTGCGGAAGGCGATGAGGCAGAAAGCCCTGAGCGGCCCGGGCGGGAGTCCCGGGGCTCTGTCCCAGCTCCTCCTGACCGGGCTTCCAGCATTGATCTCCTAGAAGATGTCTTCAGCAGCCTGGACATGGAGGCCCCACTGCAGCCACTGGGCCAAGCCAAGAGCTTAGAGGACCTCCGGACCCCCAAAGACCTCCGGGAGCAGCCAGCGACCTTTGACTACCAGGTATGGCACGGGCGGGGCAGGGTGTTGGCTGGGGTGCTCCCACACAAGACAGGGAAGAGACCAAGGGGAGTCTTCAGCCCCTGCTGAGGGAGTGATGGCAAGCCTACAGGGTGGGCAGCGGCTTCGCTCCCCTCCAGCCGCCCTAAACGCTGCTGGGGTCATCTGCTCACGTGTCTGAAGCAGGCTGACTCCCGACCGAACTGTACTGACCCTACCAGGGCTCCTTAGGTCTGGATTGTTGTGGTGAGACCACTGAACTCCCTGGTGACTCCAGCCCTGCGTGCCCCTCCCTGCGCTGGCTTGGTCGTCACCCGGTCACCTGTGGAGTCACAGTTCCCACCTGCCCACTGGGAATGAGGCAGTGTGACTTTCCAGGTCCAGTAGCCTGGAAGCAACAGAGCCAGGACTTGAACTCAGTCCCCGCAAGTGCCCCTTCTGTCAGGTCCCAGGCCTCACCGATGTCCCTAGGGTGATCAAAGGCGCCACCAGCTCTGAAAAGCAACAAGGGCTGGACCAGTAGATGGAATCCCTGTCCCAACTCCACTTCACAGTGCTGGCATCAAAGGGCAGGAGGCTCCTCCAGAACCGCTCGGGCACACAGTAGGAGGCCTGGCTTGGAGTCCAGCTGAGCCTGGCTTCTCTGCTGGTGACCTCAAGTGATCCCCATACTCATAGTTCCGGTGCCAGCCCAGCTGGGGGGCGGGGCCGGGCATGCTTTCTTCCTGTCTGGGACGGCCTGCGCTCACCAGCTCTCCCGTCCCGCTCTTCTTCCCAACAGAGGCTGGACCTGGGCAGGAGCGAGAGGACCCTGGGGATGGCGATGGCCTTGAAGCTCACCCACCCGTACAACAAACTCTGGAGCCTGGGCCAGGACGACATGGCCCTCCCCAGCAAGCCTCCGGCCGCCTCCCCGGAGAAGCCCTCAGCCCCGCCGGTCAGCTCCCCAGCCCTGCCCAGGAAGCCCCAGAGCCGGGACAGCATCCTGAACGCCAGCAACAAGGAGGAGGCTCTCACCCCGACGCCAGGTAGCATCACCATTCCCCGGCCACAGGGCAGGAAGACGCCCGAGCTGGGCATCGTGCCGCCACCTCCCACCGCGCGCCCCGCCAAGCTCCAGGCCGCCAGCGGCGGCGCACACGGCGATTTCTCAGATCAGCCGCAGCTGGATTGGGAGAGACGGGCGGCCCTCAGCCCAGCACGGTTCCTGGGGCTGCTCCCCAGTGTGGCCCCCCAAGGCCCCAGCGAACCGCTGAAGCCCCTCACCCCAGCTCCTGGGGTTACGAGCACTGGCAGCGACGCCCTGCTTGCCCTCCTGGACCCGCTGAACACAGCCTGGTCAGGCAGTGCTGTCACGCCACACCCTGACACCCCAAAAGTGGCCCCCCCATTCACGCCTCAGTTCAGCTTCCCCCCGACAGGCACCCCCACCCCTTTCCACCAGCCGCCACTCAACCCCTTCGTGGCGTCCGTGCCAGTGGCACCGTCCAACCTGCCCTTAGGTTCCACCCCAGCCCCACCTTTTGGGGCCCCTCCAGCATTTGCCCCCAGCCTCCTCTCATCCAGTGCTGGCTTCTGTGCCCCTCACAGACCTCAGCCCAACCTGTCTGCCCTCTCCATGCCCAACCTATTCGGCCAGATGCCTCTGGGTGCCCACACCAGCCCCCTACAGCCGCTCGGCCCCCCAACCATCGCCCCCTCGAGGATCCGAACGTTGCCCCTGGCCCGTTCCAGTGCCAGGTCTGCGGAGGCCAAGCAGGGGCTGGCTCTGAGGCATGGGGAGCCCCCGCTCCTGCCCCCCAGACCCCCACACGGCTTGGAGCCAGCATTGCAGCCCTCAGCGCCCCCACAGGCCAGAGACCCCTTTGAGGATTTGTTGCTGAAAACCAGGCAAGACGTGAGCCCGGCCCCCGCCCCAGGCTCTGTGGAGCAGCTGCGGAGGCAGTGGGAGACCTTCGAGTGAGGGCCACGGCTCCCTCGCCACGCTTGCCCAGCTTCCACTGGTGGGAGGGGACCCTCTGCCCCGTTCCACACTGCTCGCCTTTGAGGTCTGGCCCTGGGGAGGGGTGCTCCACAGCCTGGGAGCTGCCCCACCTGCTCCAGCACCCTGCCTGGGTTTTGCACTAGAGGTCAGCTGGGCCAGACACCCAGGTCATGTCCCAGCGCCTTCCCTCCAGACCCTCCACAGCGAGCCGCGGGGCTCTAGGCCGCTCCTCTGGGGCGCAGTAGTCCACCCCCCACCCACAGGCATCAGTGTTAGCTCCGTGTGAGTGTACCTGTGTGAGACACAGGCATCCGGGGTCCAGAGTGAGGGTCCTTCCAGGCGGGGGACCTCCCCGGTGGGCATCTGAACCCTCTCTAGCAATACTCTGGTTTTTTCATGAGTCTCCACCCAACCCCCAAGTGTCAGTCATTTTTGGGGGGTAAGGGTCCAGGAACCCCTGTGACGGCCAAACCCAGCTGGGGCTGGGAGCACCAGCAACTCTATAGAAGAGGAGGAACTCCAGATCCAGATGTTGGGAGGAGCCCCCCGGCACACACACACCCTGTTACCCAGCGCCTCCACGCTTCCCTGGTCCCTGTCACTGTCAAGGCGGGGCTCCAACTCCTGTACCTGGGGCTTGGTGGGCAGAACTGGCAGGGACAAGTCTGCTTTCAGCTCAGAAGCCAGGCACAGTGCCACAGGCTGGTGGGATGGCTCAGCTGCCTGGACGCCCTGTCAGGGCCAGGCAGGCCCCCATGGAGCGGAGGAGACTGGCCCGGTGGCCCGCAGCCAGCCCTCCCCATCCATCTCAAGCAAGCTTCTCGCCAGCACGGATTCCTGAGGCGGACAGCACCAAAGCGAGACTCTAATGTTTTGTTGTTGTTTCTTTTATCTTTCTTTTCCTTTTGACCTTATTGATTTGATGAATCCTGAAAATTGACTCCTTTCAATAAACCAAGTTAAAACACAGCCTCACCGTTTAAGAAAACAACCATCTGAGACATGCAGGAAATTGTGAACATTTTCACCTGAATTCTCATTTCCTATTTGTGAACAGGTCAGACACTGTCTACCCTGGGGTGTCTGGTGGGGACAGGGGGGTCTCTGGAGGCCCCTGTCCCCCAGGGAGCCTTCTCTATGTCTCAGAGGCTCGGAAGCTGCCATCACTGCACATGGATCTCTGAGGCTTCTGGGGTCAACCATGACACCAGCACAATCCTATCCTGTCTCCAGGCCCTTGGCTGATGGGGAGCCCAGTCTCTCCTGGGCACTCAGCTGTGCAGCACAGGTTCCAGTTCCACTCCCCTGTCCTGGGCAGACCTCCAGGCCCTGCCAGAACAGGGCAGCCTGGGGGGCAGAGGCAGAGGCAAGGTGCTCCTGCTTGGATCAGAGAAACAACGCACATCCCACAGCCCCGCCAGCTGCAAGCTCATGGCCACTCCCGCTGCGCACCACTGATCTCGTCGATCATTGGGTGGAATTTGCAAACCCAAGGAAGAACTTCGTATGTGCGTTCAATAAAACCTTCCTGGGGAAGAGGCTGGCATCCTTGTCTCTTTCAGGGAGTTGGGAGGCAGGAAAGCCCAGAGTGGGCGATCGGCCATCCTCACCGGTCTGCAGAGCCATAGCCAGGGGAAAGATCCCACCCCAGCGTACCCCCAAGATGAACACTCCTGGACGGAGGAGAGCTCAGGAGCAGCCACTCAGGGACCGAAGCTAAATCCAAATCCCTTGACAATATGTAGGAGAGCCACAGAAAATGTCCCTTCTTAGAGGTCTGCAGCTTACACAGTTGGCCATATCCCTGACTCCAGAAACCAGTTTGCTGCTGGCCCCAGGAGTTGTGAGAAACTGAGGGCCAGATAGGCCTCCCTCTAACAGAACAGGACCCAGAAAACACCATGGACTAGTGTTCAAGGCCCCTCTGCTAGCCCCCACTGAGCCCCCAGCACCATGAACTCTGTGTCCTCTAGAGGTGACTGAAGACCACGGTGCCAGAGAAAGTGAACATCCAGGTGTCAAGGGTTCAAGGCTCTGCTGGCCTTGCCACCTGGATTCCAGCCCGATGTTGGCCTAGAAAGCCAGGGCAGGAGGGCACACCTTCAGGTCCGAGGGAAGGCTCCCCTGAAGCCTGAAGGAATCCGAGCCCCCAGGCAGATGCCTCTAGAACCCAAAGTCACAGGGGCAAATAACAGGCCCAGCCATGGAAGGATGACCCAAGCGCTTCTGTCAAGTTCTTTCCAGTGTACAGGTAAGGGGCAGCTGGAGGTCTGGAGGCCTCTTGGGTGAGTTTAGCAGGTGGGGAGGCGGAAGGGCTACTCATCCTCCTGCCCTTCTGGCCTCTGGCCGGCTCCAAGGACCCCCCCCCCATCAGCTATGACCCTCAAGGGCACCCAGATCCTTCATGTCAGAACATAGTTGAATGGCTTCTGAACTTGGCTGTCAGCTTCTCTGAGCCTTGTAGCTGCCCATGAGGTAGGCAGAGGGTCTTCTTCACCTGCTCATGACCATGGCAGCCAGGTCTCGGCTCCTGCGGGGCTGGCCTGGGCAGACATGAGGTGAGATGAGCAGAGACGTCTGCCTGAAGAAGCCAGAGGCCCACCCGGCCTCCAAGAATCCTCCTCTGCCAACCCCACCTCCCAGCGGTCTCCCGGGCAGGGGCTTGCCCTGGGAGGTGGCAGAAGATGCCAGAAGCCGCGGAGCTTGGGTAAGCGCTGGTCTGGCCTGCTGGTGCACGTGCAGCCTTGGGCTGGCCCTGTCCTACAGTTGTCCAGTTGGCTGTCGTTGTGGACAAGCCACCTTCCCATGAGATCACCTGTCCCTCTCCCAGCAAGCTCCATGAGAACTTGCTCTCCTGACACGCCACGTGCACCCACGTGTGTCCTCCACGCACAGCAGCACACCTGCCATGGCCAGCAGCTTGGAGAGTTCCACAGCCTCATGGGCCCTCTTCTTCCCGGAGATGCCACTTTCCCTCAGGCCTGCCAGGGGGCAAAGGCAGGGACCGCCGACCACTCCCAGTGGTGCCCAGGCCCTAAAAGTGACCTCCTTGGGTTTCCAGGTAAGTTGATCTCCTACAGGACTTCAGGGCATAGCGTGGGTAACCAGGCTGGCCTAAATAAGCCTCTCCTCAGGGGGCACCTTGAGGACACTGTCCATCTCCAGCCGGGCTCCAGCCACCTCCTGCTGGCTGGGGCTGTAGGTGCCTTCTGACTGGCGGCGTTTTCTGGCAGCCAGGATCCCAGACAGGAGGCCCAGGAGGAGGAGGAGGAGACAGGCGCAGGCCGCGGGCACGGCCACCTCCAGCAGCGGGAACGGCAGCGGCAGGGGCAGGCCCTTCTGCGAGGGGAGAAAGAGGACGCAGGGACATGTTCAGAGAACCCAAGCCGACAACAGGCTTCCCTAGAGGTGCTGAGAGACCCGCTCCCGGGGCGTGTGTGAACAGAAGCTCCCTGTCCACACCCCGCACAGGAGTGGCGGCCAGTGGGATTCTGGCTGGCAGGATAGAGCGCAGACATCTACGGAATGCACAGTACGAGGTAGGCACTGGGTGCTGGGTCTCACACGGCCTCCCCGAGCCTAACAGAGCAGGGGCAGGCCCAGGCAGAGCCCAGCCAAGGCTGGGGGGGGGGGGGGGGGGGGACTCAGCAGGACTGGTCTGCTTTGGAGGGCCCATCTCCCAACAGATGCTCAGCTGCCCACATCTGTATGTCTTTCTGTGTATCTTGAACTCTGAAGTCTCAGGATTCCAGACATACAGAACCTGGTGTCTCCCATCGGCCCACCCTCTGGACTGTTAAGGCCTCCCGTTTATGGCCATACCTTCCTGAATGTGCCTGTGCTCATCGGATCCCGGAAAACCCCTCTGCCTACTGTGCCCCGGATTCTTAACCCCAGCATCCCGCCTGCAGGAGCACTCCCCCAAAGCTCTAGAAAAGTCCACGCCAGACTTCTGTGGGTCCAGCAGCAGGCAGCAGGCACAGCACTTGTGAGGAAACTGCAAAGCCATTTCCTCCTCCTTGGCCTGGCCTGGCCTGGGAGGGCGGCAGTGGGATGGGAAAGCCGGAGGCTGTAAAAGTCCCACTTGAAAGAAAACATTCCCCAGCAGCAGAGGGATTTGCGGGTTTATGGCCTGGCCTTCCCGAAGCCTGCAGAGATCAAGGCTGCTCCTCCCCATCGCCTGTGCCCAGAGCTGAGGCCTGCTCTGCCTCAGTGTTGGGGGGGGGGCTGGCCCCTCCATCCAGCCCCCCCCTCAGCTGAGCTTCCCCAGGCCCTGAGCTCTCCCTAGAGAGAATGCCTCCCATGGGAGCACAGAGGGGACCCGCTTCCTCTCCTGCCACCACGGAGGTGGTCCAGGAACGGCTCCCTGGGGGCTGTGCCTACCCTTCTCCCTCCCCCCCACCCCCCCACCCAGCTCTGGTCATCACTCACCACGACCTCACAGAACTGGCCAGAGAAGCCGATGCGGCAGGAACATTCATACGCCCCACCGGAGGCCCGGCAGGTGCCCCCATTCAAGCAGGGGTTGGCTTTGCAGGCCAGGGCTGGCCTCTGACACCTGGAGAGGGAAGGGGGAGAGCGAGCTGCTACGCCCTGCCACGGGGCCTCTGAGACACACAGCTACTACTGCCTGGCAGGTGTAGGCATAGCAGAAGGGGGTTATCTGGCTGTGGCCAGTGGTTGAGAGAGTAAGAGGTTCCCCCATTTTCCTTGCTGTGGCCACACTGCCCAGCCTCTTCCTCCGCAGGCCCCAGTCCACCTCCCTGACTCCAAACCCACCTGCGGCCAGCAAGCGCCTCAGGGCAGCTGCAGTTGGTGCCCTGGGTCGCAGCCTCACAGAGGACGCCGTCCGGGCAGGTGGCGTTGAGGCTGCACTCCTCCGGCAGGACCGGCAGCCTGGAGAGAGAGAGAGCGAGCACCAGGCTGGACAAGCGGCTCTGGCCCATCCCCTTGCCCCGGCTCTCCCTGTGCAGTCCCGCTCGCCTCCTACAGACCTCCATGTCTAGGTGGGAGGGACAGCACAGGGCTGTCACTCTACTATTCAGCCCCATCCTGCAAGGCGTGCACCTTTCCGGGCCTCTGAGAAGCTGTGAGATGGAAGGACGGGGGAGAGGGACGGGGTGGAACAAAAGCAGCTCTACTTATCAAACACTATCGAGGGGAGAGGCTCCCACTGACTCCTCCAGGAGCTGCCACACGGAAGGGGACAGAGCCCCAGCGCCCAGGAGCACCAAAGGCCGTGTTGGTGGGAGCAGCCCCCGGCCAGGGGACAGAGCGGTCACCATCGTGGGGGGAAGTCCCCCGGCAAAGCCTGGAGGGATCTTCTCAGACCACCTCTGGTGGCCCAAATCTTGACCACGGTGTTATCTGAGTTGCAAGGATATTTTGGGGGGTTGTTTGTGTTCATTTGTTGGCAGGGAGGGGACATAATTTATTCTGGCTTTTTGTTTTCGTTTTTGGTCGGTCATGGGGCTTGAACTCGGGGCTTGGGTGCTGTCTGCCTTTTTCCTGCCTTGGCTGGCTCCCAACTGCGATCCTCAGATCTCAGCCTCCCCAGTAGCTAGGATTACAGGGGTGAGTCCTGAGCGCCCGGCTCTATTTTTAATAGCTGTGAGACTTGTCGAACCGACCTGCAGTGCCTCTTTCCCAGATGACGAGCAATAGGCCGGGAGGAGGGGGCTGACCTGCGCGCACCTGCAGCCTGTTCTCCCTGGGGTCCGCGCCCCCACAGCGCCCCTCCTCCCCCACCCCGCCCGGACCTCCGGACCTGCGAAACCATCCACACCTGCAGCGCGGGCCGGCGAAGCCAGGCTGGCAGCGGCACTCGAAGCGACAGCGCCCGTGGGCGCAGGGCCTGGCGCGACACGGGTCGGCGCGGGTCTGGCAGCGCGGCCCCTCCCAGCCCGGGGCGCAGGCGCAGGCGAAGGCGTCGAAGAGGTCGCGGCAGGCGCCGCCGTGCGCGCAGGGCGATGGCGCGCACACCGGGGCCCCGCTGCAGCCCAGGCGCGGGGCGGAAGCCGCGGGCCAGGCCTCGAAGTGTTGTTCCCGGGGAGCGGGGGCCGCGCCGGGCCGCGGCCGCGCCAGGGGCAGCGGGAGGCCGCCGAGCGCCACGCGGCCCAGGCAGCCCGTGAAGTTCTCGGCCAGCAGGACGCGCGCGGCGCCCGGGCCTGGCGGGAAGCCCGGGTCGCCCTCCGGGCGCAGCGCCACGGGCGAGGCCGCGCCGTCCAGCCACAGCAGCCAGCGCTCGGCGGCCGCAGCCAGGCGAACGCGGTGCCAGGCGCCGTCGGCCACGCGCGGCCCGGGCGCGGGGAGCGCGGCGCCCGCCCCGCCGCCGCGGCGCACATGGGCCACCAGCGAGCCGTTGCGCACCGCCAGCCAGACCCCGGCCCCGGCCCCCGCGTCCGCGCGCAGCAGCCCCGCGTCCGCGTCCCGCGTGCGGAAGGCCAGCGACAGCCCCCCGCCCAGCCAGCGCCCCGCCGAGGCGTTGTGCCCGCGGAACTCCACCGGGGGACCCTCGCGGAACGTGGCCTCCGCCACACCTGCAGAGAGGAAGGGAAGGTTGATCTGCCCGCCACGGCCTCCTGCCCCACGCATCAGGCCCTGCTGCCCGTGCCCGTGGTACTGAGGAATGGAACTCAAGACTTCACGCATGCCAGGCAAGCACGCCACCACGGAGCCACATTCCCAGCCCTCCCCTCACTCTCCTCTGCAGCCTTTTTAAACGACAGATCCTCCGCCTGCTGAAACGCTCCTGCGCTCCCCAGTGCCCTTGCGATACAATCTGAGCTGCCTGGCCTGGGATTCAATTCCCTGCCAACTTCACCCAGGTTCCTGCTGCATCCTTCCTGGACTGCTGTTTCAGAGGTTCCTACAGACCTCAGGGCCTTTGCACAGACCATTCCCTCTTCCAGGAATGTCCAATTTTTCTGTAGCTTCTCAAGAATTGGCCCTGAAAAAAGCCTCAAGAAAGCCTGGATGCTGTGCCCTCCACACTGGGCTGGGGCTATAAGCATTCCTGGTCCCTAAGAGACCAGCATCTCATACACCCAGAGGGACCTAACCGGCTGGAATTTCTACCATGCAGCATACAGGCTGCCAAGGGCCCACACTCACAGACAAAGCCGTCTGGGACCTCTTCACAGGTGGCAGGTGGGAGGCAGGGCTGGCTAGGGCACCACCGCTGTTGGGCGCAAGTGGGCCCCGTGAAGTTGTCGGGACAGGTGCAGTTGAAGTCATTCCAGGTGACGAGGCAAGTCCCACCGTTGAGACAGGGGTCTGGCTGTGGGACAGTCAGGGCGGAGGCTGCCTCACCCCAAGCCCCCTGACCAGCACCGCCCTTCATGAAGCAGGGCCCAGGGTCAGGTCAGGTCACAGACAGTGAGACCACCAGGGTCCTCCCCGGAGGGTGGAACTAGTCACCTGGCGCCAGGGAGACCAAGTGCCCATCATGTCCAGGAGTCAGTCCACCTCCCACCCGTCCCTTTCCCAACCAACCCCCAGAAGCTCCCGTGGAAGGACGGCAGCAGCCCTGCCTAGGGCAGAGTGTCATCTCAGAGACCAGGCAGAGGAGGGGACGTGAATCCTGAGACTAACGCAGGTGACAGCCACTCCTGGGCCTGTCTCCTCCTCCCAGTGACCCAGGACAGACCCCCTGGTGTGCACTCACACTGCACGTGTCCTCAGAGACGCAGCCCCGGGTGAGGTTCCAGGCCTGGCTGGCATCCAGCTCGGCAGGCTCTCGGGGTGCCGCTGGCTGGCTGGAGTTCTCCGTCGGCCGAGGAAAGAAGGGGAGGTGGAGGCCATTCAGCCGCAGGTCCTGGAGGCAGCCTTGGAAGGGCCCACCCCAGGGCCGGGTGTCGGCAGGCTCGGGTCTCCCGCCCACGTGCACCTGCTGCCCCAGGTCCTGCAGCTGCTCGGGCCCAAAGCCGAGCGTCACCAGGTGCTGGAGCCCGTCATCCCGGCGCCCAGGGAGCACCAGCGCAGGGCCACCGCGCACCAGGGCCTGGACCTGGCCCTCCCACAGGAAGATCGTCAGGCCAGCCGCCGAGTCATTGGCAAACTGAAGCAGCAGGCCAGCGGGCTCGCGCGTCCGGACGAGGAAGGACACGGTGAGGTTGGGGCCTGGCCGCTCAGGGAGCAGAAAGGAGGCAGAGCTCAAGGCGCCCCCCAAGCCAAAGGTGGCGGCAGGACTCTCTGCGGGGAGAGGGGGAGATGGGGGTAGGGTGAGCTCAGCAGGTGGGGAGCCCCGGGTTCCCCGCCTCCCCAGCTCTGCAGCCTCACCGTCAGCACATGTGGGGCCGCCGTAGGGCCGCGGGCAGGTGCAGCGGAAGCGTGTCCACAGGTCCTCACAGGTCCCGCCGTGGGCGCAGGGCGGGGGCTGGCACTGCTCCTGGCGCTCGCAGCCCCGGTGGACGTCCGCACCCAGGTCCTCGGGCAGCAGCAAGTGCCCGTCCACCCGGACGTCCTGGAGACAGCCTGCAAAGGCAGAGCCCCCCAGCTGGACGGCGCAAGGCCCAGCAGGCCCAGGGGCCACTGACGCCACAGGACCTGGGGCCACGGGACCAGAGGCCATGCAGAGCTGGGCGGGACAGCCCTCATGCCAGAGCCGGAGGTGCAGGATCCCCAGGCGGAGTTCCACCTCCACCCGATGCCAGTGGCCATCGCTGAGGGTCCGGCCTGGCAGTCTCAGGACGAGGGGGGTGCCACCACGGCTCCAGAGCGTGGCTTGAAGTGTGGCCCCCACCAGGGCCAGCTCCAAGCTGTCCTGGGTGTCAGTGCGAGTAGCCAAGATGCCAGCAGACAGGGTGGTGCGAAACCTCAGTGCCAGGCCCAGGGGGCCACCGGCTGGCACCGATGCCCGCACAGGGCTCTCAGCCAGGACAGAGAAGGTGGTATTGTGGCCACAGGAAGGGCCATGGGAGCCAGGTGGACAGCGGCAGACATAACCATGGACCCCGGACTGGAAGGTGGGGATGCAGGTGGCAGCTGGAGGACAGGCGTGGCCCTGGCAGCCAGTGAGCTGCACAGAGCAGTCGTGTCCACCCCAGGCCTCTGCGCACCGGCAGGCGTAGCCCGCCACTTTGTCATCACAGGTTCCTCCATGCAGGCAGGGCTCTGACAGGCACTCATCCACATCTTCCTGACATGCCAGACCTTCGGGAGAGACCAGGCAAGGCTCAGTTCCCATGGCCAGGACCACGGTTCCCAACCAGAATTCCGGGCCTTGGTGCCTAGCAACAGGGTGCCCAGATGATTTGTCCATACCCCTAGAGGCAGAACCCAGATGCCCACCCATGCTGAGTCTCTATGCCCTGTGAATCCAATCCTTGAAATATCCCCAGGCCCCCTTTTCCTCCCGCCTCACAACTCCTGCCTTCCCAGGCCTCTGGGTCACAGTCAGAGGCCCTGGATTAGCAGCCTCCAGATTAGCGGCCTCCAGAAGGCCCTCTCCTCTCCACCCCTTCCCCGCAGCCTCCAGCCATCGCTTCTCCAGGCATAGTGGGCATCCACAACCTCTGCTGTCTGCTTGGAGTGCCTCATCCTCCTCTCCATCCAGCAAAGCCCAAGTTCAAAGGCTCAGGAGCTTTCCCTGACTCCCAACCCACACTCCTTGCCACTCCCTTCACAGCCCACAGGCCTGTGTGGTGAAGGTATGCGTTTTACTGGGCTGCGATCTCCATCAGGGGCCCAAGTGTCTGTGATGCCCACCAAAGGACCTACAGGCAGAGGGATGAAATGGAAGAACGGGGTGATAACACATCTGGGGTACAATGAGCAGCTACAGGCTCAACCTCTCCATCCTTCTGCCTTGACCACCGTGTGACTTCAACTCAGCCAGAGCCCCCACCAAACAAACAAGGCCAGCCCTGCCCCCCACCTCCCAGCTGCAAGACCCAGGTCCACAGAAGCCACAAGGGCCTGAGAGCACTTGAAGTCTAACCCTGATCCACCCACCACCACCAGCCCCTCCCACACAGCCCTGTCCTCCGTACCTGCCAGGAGCCACAGCACTCCCAGGAAGGGGTACAGGACCCCCAGCCCCATGACCCCTACAGAGGGGCTGAGTGGTGGCAGGCACCGGGAGCAGGGAGCAGAGCTCCCTCCCTGGGCCAGTACTGCCTCCCCAGCCAGCTCAGGAATGCCAGGCCCCGGCCTCCCCCACGCCGAGCTCTGCCCACAGGGAGGCTGGGTCCTCCTGAGCTCTGACCTGAGCTCGGCCCTCCCTCGCAGCTGAGCTCAACTGCAAGGAGCTGGGTTCCCACTGATGCCTATGACCCTGGGGCTGCCAGGGCTGCCGTTTGTAGGATGGAGATGTCAAGCCCCACCCCACGGGTGGATGTAGTGCAGAGAAGAGGCAGAGGGCCAGGGCTACTGGGGCACAACTTGGTCCTCAGCCAGGGGGCATAGTGGACAGGCTTCTAAGGCCCCCAGGGGCATGGGCTATCCAGGAGTAGGGGTGCTGAGCTCCAACTTGCAGGGGGGGGCATGCCTCCTTCCCAGGCTGTGAGGGAGGGGAGCCTCTGCCCAGAGCCTGAGGAAGAGGAGGTGGTGTGGCAGGAATGTGCCTGTGGGGGGGGGGGGAGGTCACAGCCATTCCAGAGCCGGCAGAGGCACGCGGGGAGAAACACGTGGGGGCAGCTCCCAGGCTCACCAGTGGTCATCTGTTTGCACCTGCTTGGACCCGAGGCAGGGAACAACCTTCTGCACCCCCAAGTCTACCAGGTGCCCCCCCCTCCCCAAAGGGAAGCAAGGGCGCTCCTCAGTCTTGGCTAGACAGTCCCGAACATCCCCAAACCCCTTTGATGTCAGGGCTCTGCCCATCGCCCTCCACCTTCACCCGGCAGCTCAGCCTGCCTCTGGTCCCTGCTGCCGGGAGCCACTCCTAACCCCACCTCTGGCGCCAGCCCAGGCCTCAGTCCTGAGCCCCAGATCCTCAGCATGATCAGGGCTGGACACCACCTCCTCAGCCCTACACCAAGGCCTCTCTCCATGTGGACCTATAACATCCACCCCCAAACTCATTCGCCCCCAAACTCATCCGCCCCTCTCTTCCCACTTCCAGAGCCAAATCTCAGCTCACCTGGGCCCGGGCGCCCCACGCCTCCCTCACCTCCTGCCCCCGCCAGGCCTGTCAGCAGCTACCCTGCCCCACGGCCCCCCCAGCCCCGCCCCGCGCCCACCTGCGTAGCCGGCTGGACAGTGGCACTGGAAGCCATTGGGCAGGTCCTGGCAGCGGCCTCCGTGGAGACAGGGCCTTGAGGCGCACTCGTCCACGTCCACGCCGCAGTCTTCCCCTGCAAGAGGCTCGGCCGTGGCTCCCGCCCGCACCCTCGGGGCCAGACCAGCGCTAGCGGGGCTCATGGCTACTTGGGGGCCCCGCAGCCGGGGTCCCTCCCTGCGCAGGGGGCTCACCCTCGAAGCCGGCCGGGCAGCGGCACCAGAAGCCAGCCGCGCGGCGGAAGTCGAAGGC